ACTCTGCTGGGCCTACTTGGTCCAGCTGACTTTGGGGATGTCGTAGTGCTCGGTGAGGGTGTCCAGGTGCCTGTTGAAGTCCTGGGAAGAGGGACACGTCACCTGAGCCCAGCAGGACACCAGGGACAGCGGCATGGCGGTGCCTATCTCCCAGCCTGTTACCCTGTCCCTGTAGGAGCTAGGCACTGCCAGCCGTGGGTGAGGCCCGTCCGCTGACCCCTGGAGGCCCCTCCACAACTCACCTCCACACGCTGTTTGTGGGTCTTGGATGCTTTCTTTAGGATCCGTTCCATTTGCTGGGGAGAGAGGAGCATGTGTGAGTCAAAGGCTTGGGCAGTGGCAGGGAGCAGACTGGGACACAGGCTGTACCTCTTTGGGCCACCTTTTGGCCCAGATGTCCTTTGGCAAGAAGGTACTAGAGGGGCTGGCGAGATGGCTCAGTGGTCTAAAGCACCTACTTGGAACAAGCTTGGCAAAGCACAGGGACCGCGGTTCAATCCCCCAGCACCACATGCCAGCCAGCCCCGCCCCCTGGTGGGCTGAGCTGGCCACACACACACACACACACACACACACACACACACACAATAAATAAATAAATAAATGTTTAAAAAAAAAAAAAAAAAAAAAAGAAGGTACTAGAAACTAGAAAGGGCAGACAACCTACATCTGTCTCTCAGAAAGAAGCTCTCTCTCTCTCGCAATAAATTCTTATAAAAACAAGCAAAAACAAACCAGGATGCCAGGCATGGAGGACACGCCTGTAATCCCAGCACTTGGCAGGCTGAGGCAGGACTGCTGTGAGCTCAAGACCAGCCTGGGTACACAGGGAGGCCAGCCCAAACTCTGGTTTCCATACTGGGAACGGGGACCTCCCTGACTCCATCATTACACACTGTGTAGAAAGAGATTTGAGGCAAAAGCCTGATGTCCCAAGAGAGCAGGAAACAATACCCAGAGCCCGAGGAGAGCTGCTGTCTGTTTGCAAATTCCCAGAAAGCTGGATTCAAGGCTGCAGATAACAGCTTCTCCTGCAGGCGCCCTGTCCTTTGATCCCTTGCTTGGGATGTTACCGGCTAGCATTTGTGTGAACTTAGCATTAGGCAAATGGATAGAAGTCAATAGAGTTAGTAGTTTGCATAATTACTTAGGTAATTATGCACATTCCTTAGTCTGCCTTTAGCCCTCAGTAAATGTGAGATGCTTCTGAGGCTCGGGGCTCACGTGGAGAGAGATTAATCTCAGTGAGACCTCTGAAGCTACATTCATCAGGTCTTCTCGTCCTTTCTTTCGGCACCACCCGTATCGTAGAACACACTGGACACACTTCTCAATTTATAATAAAACCCTGTATCCCAAAACAAGATCAGGTATTTAATTTTAAGAATTAAAAAGACCTAGACCACTGCTCCAGTCTATTCTGGAAATGTCTTGCACTATGACCACCATAACCCTTGTCCCTGATTATGATGACATCAGCTCTGCCCAGGACCAAGTCAGGAGGCCCTTGAGTCGGGAGGAACTCTGGCCTGAGGCGCAGCTTTGCGAGGAGGCCCTGGGCTCTGTGAGAAGAAAAGGCAGCACTGCCCAGCACATGAGGAGGTCATGCTGGCTCCACATGCACAGCTGGGGACTGTGGTCAGCTCTGCTGCCCCCAATACTGTGCTGCCCAGGCTGACAATGAGTAGGGCCTAAGAACCATGAACCCAACAGAGTGCAGGGCTGAAGCTGGGCATAGTGGCACAAGCCTGTAATCCCAGTACTTGGAAGGCTGAGGCAGGAGGATGGCACAGAGTTCAAGGCCAGCCAAACAGCAGAGTGAGACCCTGTTTCAAAATGGAAAAAGCCAAACAAATCAGGGCCAGTAATGGGCCAAGCCTGAGGAGACCCAAATCTTTGGCTCTGTGCTTTGGAGCTGCCGCCACATAGGCATCTGAAGGCCCTGCAGGACAAAAAAGACCTGGAGGATGAAATAATATAGTGTGCCCTCCTGGTCCTCTTCAAGGTCCAGGAAGTTCATGCCTGTAATCCCATCAAACTAATTCCAAGCTACCACTCCCAGTGTAACCCATGGCGTAAATAAGGGCACAATAACATGTTCAAAGTGTTGGGGCACCAAGGGGTCCTGACTCTGGCTAAGATGGTGAGCTGAAAAAAAGGCCCTGACCCAAGACTAAACCTGGACTTACTCATCTGTGAAGGGAGTGGCTGGAGGACGAGGTACTGTGCGCCTGGTGGACGCAGCTGAGGGCTCTGAGCTGGCTACAGAGGAGGCCTGAAGTCATGGTGCAATAAACAGGACGTGCACAAGCCGTGACCAGCATATCACAACTGAAACAGCATCTGCCGTTTTGGGGCCAGCACTCCAGCTCTAGGGCGTAATTTTTTATGCCCTGGGAGGCCAGAGCCTCCTCTTGAGGCAACACCAGCTGACAGCGTGGAGCACTGGCTTTTCATCCCGCCTTGTCCCACCTCACACAAGGGAACAACGGGGTGGCGGAGGTCCCGGGGAAACACCCCTGCGCTCCTCTTTAAACACTACACATCAGCACTGTGGCTAGACCAACATGCACTGCTCAAAGCCACCTGAAAGGCTAAGGACTCGTCCTGGCCAGCTCTGCATGTCTCCACATATGGAAACTGGGTCAGGCGCAGGCAAGTGGAGGCAACTGCTCCTCTTGCAAGGAGAGTCACCCAAGTCCTTCCCAAGACAAAGGTGGGATGAGAAAGGGCACACAGCACTGGGGCACCGGGGATGACACACCACAGCCCCCCAGGCCGGTACAGTTCGGTCAGGCCACAGACTCCTCAGCCTCTGCTCCCACTCCCATGATACACTCTCAGTCCTGGCTGGGTGCGGTTGGGCATGCCTGTCATCCCAGCACTCAGGAGGTTGAGGCAGAAGGACTGTCATAATATATTTGAGGCCAGCCTGGACTACATACTGCCTTCCAGGCCAGCCTCAGCTTCACAGTGAGACTGTCTCAGAAAAAATACAAAACATAAGTAAAATATTTTTTGAAAGTGCTGGGGCTATAGCTCGGTGCAAAGGCTATTGATTCAATCTCCAGTCCCCAAAAACCAAAGCAAAACATCTCAGCTGTTTTACCTCAGGGACACAAGAGTACTGCGGTTCACTCGCCCGAGCCCAGGGTCAGTGACACTCTCGCACTGTGGACACTGGCGGGGGTCGCTGCTCCTGCCCCGTGCTTGTGCAGCACTCCCTGCTGTCCACTCACAGGACAGCAGCAGCACCCCAGCAGCAGCAGCACGTTTGGGGCGGCGGGAGGGGTCACTCCGACTGAACGGCTGACCCAGACCCGAGTCCTCTCTCACCAGCACGACAGGCCCGCTTCTCACCCTGAGGCTGACCTCTGCCCTACCCACCACCCAACCTGGTGACGAGAAACGCCCGAGCTTGCACCTGCCGGATCCTGTCGCCATGGAAACAGACTGCGTCCCTCAGGATGGGTGCGCGCCGGCTCTGCCCAGGCCCGGGCCCCTAGAGCTTCGACTGCATTGCTGCACCCGAAGCTCCCCACCCTGCCTAGAGAAAGAACCCTTCCGCCTCCTGAAGGCGGGGACAACGGGGCACGGAAGGGGACCCCGCCGGCGACCTGGCGTCGCGCTCCGCCCCATTCTCCCCGGAGCCCGCCCCGCCGCCTCACCCGCTTCTCCTGCATCTTCTCGAAGGCCGCCTGCGCCGGCGTCCGCTTGTCCAGGCAGCGCCGCTTCTCTTCCTCGTTCTTCTTGCTCGTCCCCATCGCCTCCAGGAGCTTCGCCTTGTCCTTGTCTTTCTTCTTCTTCTTCCTGGCAGAGGAAACGGGAGGGAGGCGGGTGAGATCGACCGAGGTGACCCCGGGCCGGGGAGCGGTCTCGGGCGGGGTTAGAACACAGCGCCCCGGCCCCCGGCCTCACCGCTTGGTCACGCCCAGCTCGGCGACGCCTTTCAGCTTCAGGGGCCCCTTCTGGACCTGCTCGTAGGCCTCCATAGTGCGACCCACAGTCCCGGAGCACAGGGCCACACTTCCGGCTTGCGCGGCGTTTACGCCGGAAGCGCGCCTCTGCGTCTCTCTGATTGGTCGAGCGCGGGAGGCGCATGCGTCCTTGCGCTCAGCCGCGCCACACTTCCGGTCGGGGGCGGAGGGGCGGGCGCGCGCCTGCGCTGTGCATCGGTCCGCTGCCACACTTCCGGCTTTGGCTTTTTCTTCCGTTGTCCGGGGTTCCAAGCGGAGTACTAAAGTCTTGATTCCTTTTTGCGTGGTGTCGTGCTTTCGTTTATCATTGTACTTTGAGCGCTTAATGGATAAATGCACCTGGTTTTGTAAACTGTTCCGTGCTCATTCATTTCTTTTTTTTTAGGCAGGTTCTCGCTCTGTAGGTTAGGCTGGTCTGAACTACTAAGGAGTTACTCACTTTCCAAAAACCCTACTCACTTTGAGTAGCTGTCTGTTCTCTCTTACCCCTTCTCATCTTCAGATACATTGTCTTTTATTTAAAAAAAAAACCAACCAAAAAACTCTGTATCTCAGACTGGCTCATGGTGATCCTTTTGCCTCAGTCTCCCTGCCACTAGGCCCTATGTTACTTTATTTATTTATTTATTTTTTTTTTTTTAATTTATTTATTTATTTATTTTTGTGTGTGGCCAGCTCAGCCCAGCCCACCGGGGGGCGGGGCTGGCTGGCATGTGGTGCTGGGGGATCGAACCGGGTCCCTGTGCTTTGCCAAGCTTGTTCTAAAGTAGGTGCTTTAGACCACTGAGCCATCTCACCAGCCCCTTTATTTTTTATATTTATTTTATTTTTTTTTGTGGAACCAGGGATTGAACTCAGACCCTTGCACTTGCTAGGGAAGTGCTTATTCCACTGAGCCATCTCCCCAGGCCCCTTCTATGTTACTTTATTTTTAAAAAATATTTTTGTCAGGCCACTGATGTAGCTCGGGCACAAGTGCCTGCGTGGGAAGCGCCAGATCCTGAGAGCCATTTCCGGTGCCGCAAACCCAAACAGAACCAGATGGGGGAGGGGCTCTCCCTGGAACCCTGGAGGGAGCGCTGCCATGTCTCCTTTTTCTTTTATTTATTTATTTTGTATTTTAGGGAAGGGTCTACAGAGTGTTCAGGGTGTCACTGCTAGATCGGACTCCTGGTGATGCGCCTGCTTGCAGCCTCTCAGGCTGGAATTACAGGTGCACGCCAACATGCCCACACGCCCTGTCTCAACTGCCATCTCAGCGAGCCCCCGGGTCAACAGTGAGCCCCGGGGGTGGAGCCTGAACGGCAGGCCTGGGGTTGAACCCCTGATCTGCTGAGCTATTTGGCCGTCCCTTTCCTTTTTCTGACCGGAGCAGTGGCTGAAAACTCGATCCCATGTCGTACACAGACCGGCGACAGCACTCCTTGCCCCAGCGCCTGAGGCTGTGGACGTGCGCGAAGCTGGAAGGGTGGTGACTAGCGATGGGGAGCTAGTAAGAAGTAACTGCCGGTGCGTAACTAATGATGGGTAACTAGTGTTGGGTTACTGGTAATTGGCAACTTGCGATGGGTAATACCACTAACGAGTGACATAACTAGCAGTGGGTCACTAGTAATGAGTAACCTGGTGATGAGGAACTAGCAACGGGTAACGAGTGATGGCTAACTAGCAATAAGTAACTAGTGAGTAGTCGGGGTAGCTAGTGAGGGTAACTAGCAATGAGTGCACTCACAGGCTCCAGCTGCCCCTGCCGCTGGGCCTGACCTCCCATCTTGCCTCCCCCAGAAGTCCCCATCTCATTCCTGCCTGGCAAGCACAAGGTCCTGAGTTTGATTCCCGGTACCCCTTCCCTCTCTAAAAAATAAAAAAAATGTAGTGGAAGAAGAGAATAAGGTAATTGTGTGTGTGTGTGTGTGTGTGTGTGTGTGTGTATTAGGTGCTGGACCTGGGGCCTTTGCACAGAGCTACATCCCCAACTCATTGTTAAAAATCATTTATTTATTTATTTATTTATTTATTTGATGCAGGGTCTCACTGTGCAGCTCAGACTTGTACTGAGCCACCTGGCTCAGCCTCTCCAGCGCTGGGAGGACAGGTGTGTACCACCACGCCCAATTTTGGTGGCTGGCACAGCCATGTGGTACTTGTGGATCCAGCCCGAGTCCTCGCACTTGCCAGGCAGGTGCTTAGATCGCTGAGCTATCTCCCTGGCCCCCAATTCGTTTTTTAAAAAATTAATTTTGAGACAGCACCTCACCAAGTTGCCCAGGCTGTGGTCCAACTTGCCCTCCTCCTGCCTTCTCTCTCTCTTTTTTTAAAATACGAAATGCTTCATGAATGTGCGTGTCAGGCTTGTGCAGGGGCCTTGCTAATCTCTGTCATTCCAACTTTAGTATGGGAAGCAAGCACAGACCTTCTCTCCTGACAAGCTGGTTATCTCAGCCGTCATCTTGCGCCACAGAAGCTGACACCCTGCCCCGCGCCTGTGGCCCTGGATATGCACAGCTGCCCCCGGGTTGGCCCGAGCTCCTTCCTTAGCCCATGCAGCCTGCTGCGCTCTAAGCCTCAGCACCTCAGTGAGCACCATGCTGGACAGGAACCAAGATGGTGCTGCCAGCTTGGTCCCCATGGGCTCCGTCTGGTGCTGAGGAAATGCACACAGGCCGCTCTCCACACATCTACAGGCCCCTGGCTGTCACCACATCCACACCACATCCCCCAAAGGTCCCCCGTCATCTTCTCAAATGTGAGCCAAACCTGGGCCTCTGGATGCTGTATGAGCCAGGTACTCACACCTCTCTCTGGAACCCCCTTCGCTGGTTGTGTTGGGTCACCTTCCCTTCTATGTCCCCCAGAGGTGGGGCACTTTCAGTGTGGCCACCTTACCCACTCTCTGAGTGTCAGGGTCTCCTCATCAAAGCCTCTCTCATTCTCTGACCTCCCCTTCCAGGGCTGGTTGAGGGCGTAAAAGTAGGAGGAAGGTTCTGGAACTCAAGTCTTGAGTATCTGAAAGGAGGTGGTCACTTCCCTCACACTGCATCCTCCTGTGGCTGGGACACCAGTGGTTCCCCAAGGGCCTGCATGTGAAAAGCTCCACCCAGGACAGCAGTACTGGGAGGGGCTGGGTGTCCTGGAGGCCTTATGTAGTGGGGTCTGGGAGGGGCTGCTGAGCCTCAGTCTCTCAGCTGTCCTCCTGCCCCAGCCTCCTGACTAGCTGGGCTCACAGGTGTGCTCCGCTGGGCCGTCTGTGCATTTCACTTAAGACAGCTGTTGTTCAAGTTGGGCCAGGGACTTTTGGGGAGGGCAGTAGCAGGAGGAGGAGGGGGAAGAGGAGCAGGAGGAAGAGGAGGAGGAAGAAGAGGAAGAGGAGAAGGAGGAGAGGAGGAGGAAGAGGAGCAGGAGAAAGAGGAGGAGGAGGAAGAGAAAGGAGGAAGAGGAGGGAGGAGGAGGAAGAGAGGAGGAAGAAGAGGTGGAGGGAGGAGGAGGGAGAGGAAGATGAGAGAAGCAGTCTCTGTTCCAAAGGGGTCCTCACCTGCCACCCCCAGTCTACTTGCAGGGGCAGCAGTAGCTACCTGTGGGCTCCCTGGCACCTGAGGGAGGGTCAAAACAAAGGCCATGGGCCTTCTGGGAAGATGGTGGCGTGGTGAGCAGCAGGAAAACAGCCTGCCCAAGATTTGGTGTCCAGATACTGGAAGATAGCAACATGAGGAAGAGAAAGAGGAGGGAGCTGGGGTCCAGGGACCCCGCAAGGGTCTGAAGTGAGAACTGAACCCCACAGGAAAGTGGAGAGAGAGACAGAGAGACAGAGAGAGACACACAGAGAGACAGAGACAGAGAGAGATCAACATAGTGGAAGGAGGTGAGTTCGAGACCAGCCTGCGCTACATGATGAACTGAGGCCAGCTTGACCTTCATAAAACAGGAGACTAGGAGCAGTCAACCAACAGCTGCTGGGTGGTGCAAAGAAAAACAGTAAGACTGACTGGAATCAATGAAGACGCAGAAGATAACGCAAGGGCCCCAAGAAAGCCCATTCGCAGCCGTCATGGAGGAAGAGTTTGACCCACAGACAAGTGAGGCATGTAGGACTCCAACTGGCCGTGACCCCGGACTCCCCGCTGGCGTACACTAGTCAGGAGAGGAAGAGGACTTGAAGGGAGGCGCAGGGAATGAGGAAAGGAGACGGGAGATGGAGCAGGAGCAGTATGCACTCCCGCGGCCGAAAGTTAGCATTTTGGGTATCTAAAATGTACCAACAGAAATTCAGCGTAAGAACAGAATATTAGGGGGCCTGGCCGTAGCTCAGGCCTTTAAGTGGCTGCTTCCACAAAGCTGTCAGCCTCAGGTTGCTGGAGTTCGAACCTCACACCTCTCCAGCTGGCCAAAAGTGCCCTGAAGGCATTCGAGGAACAACAACAACAACAAAAAAAAACAGACAAAAACCACCTTATTATTCCTATTAAAAAAAAAAGAACAGAATATTAAAAGCTGTTGGAAAAGAAAAAAGTTGTTAGCGAAAAGAAACAGATCATGTACAAAGGAAAGCCATCAGAATCAGCAAGTGATCAAAACAAACCCTTAAGTCCGGAGAGCTTGGAGTGAAATATTTGAACCTCTAGAAGGAAACAGTCTTTAACCCAAAGGGCTGGGTGTGGGGAAAAAAGACAAAACCAGAGCACAAGTGATGGAAAAATAAGATACTTCCGTGATGAAGAGTACATAAAGAAATTCATGACTGCCAAATCAGCGTTCTGACATGTTCTGAAGTACTTTCCAGAAAGATAGTAAGGACTGAGGGCCGGCCGGATGGCTCGGCGGATTAAAGTGACTGCTTAGGCAGACGCAGGGACAGGGACCAGGTTCGATCCCCTGGTGTGCCACACCAGCCCTGGCCCTGGGGCACGCTGAGACAGTGATGGAGACTGGGATGGTGGCGCCGGCGTGTAATCCCAGCCTTTGGGAGGCTGACGCAGGAGGACTACTGGGAGTCCTAGAGCAGCGTGGGCTGTGAAGTGAGCGCAAGGCCAGCCTGAGCTGGATAGTGAGACCTTGTGTGAAAACGACAAAAACACCAAAAACAAATCCCCCCTCAAATAGAACCCGTGTCAAAAAGACAAAGAAATAATCCAAGAGGAAGAGATAACAGTTGTAAATATATGCAACAAGTACCAGTGCGCCCAGCTACATAACACAAATATTAACAGACGTGAGCAATTAAGCAAGCATCAGTACAACTAACAGTCACCGGATATCCCGCAGTCACAGATAGATAAGTAGACAAAAAAACCAACAAAGACATATTAGAACTGTAGGGATTTCTAACTGGTGGTCACCTTCTTACACCCAGCTGAATTACACTAGCATAGTGCTGGGTGCGGGAGGCCCACCTAGGATTGTTTCCAGCGGCATAAGGGCAGAAGTGGAGAAGCTGCCAGAACACTGTTAGGGATGCTGTTCGGAAAAGCTGTTGGAGCTGTTGGAAGCTGCTGACTCTCCTGGGCTGTGCTGCTGCAGGACCCTGCCATCTGGCTTTCCCAGTGAACTTTGGGGGAGCTCTGGGCCTCATCTTGAGCGTCGCTTCCTGGCTCCAGAGTGGAGGATGGTGCGCTGCTCTGCTTCATGGAGAAGCTTGTCGCGTTGGCTCTCCTGATGGGAACTCGGCTTTCCTCATCACTGGAGGGGCTCGGGACCTCACTGTTGCTGAGGCTGGCTGTGGTGCTTTTTGGGGGAGCTCTGGTCCTTACCTTGGGCATTGCTTCCTGGCTCCAGTTCAGATCCCTCGGCCTGCTGGCACAGATCCTTCATCCCGCTGGCACAGACTTCTCAGCTTCCAACACTGACCTTTGGGCCTTCCCAGCACAGATCCATGAAGTGGGCCTGTGTGAGATTTTGTTATGGGCTCTAGCCTCCACTTGGACTGGTGGGAGGCATTGTTATGAGCTCTAGGCCCTCAGCTGGATTCTCTAGTGTTTAGTGTGTGGACAGATTTTCTGTACTTCTTGTATATAATTCTTGGGTGATTCTTTATAAAATATTATAAAACGTGTCCTGTATTATATTGTTTCCCTTGTGAAAAACCATGAGCCATGACAAGAACTGAACCAAACTTTTGAGCAAATGGCCTCAGTAGATGTCTACAGAGTGTTTCATCCCACAAGTCAGAATCCACATTCTTCTCAGCTGCACACGGGATGTTCTCCAAATAGGTCACATACTAAACCATAGAACATGTTTAAGTAAATGCAAAGGAATTGAAATCATCCTATGCTTATTCAACCATAGTGCAATGAAATTGGAAATCAATGGCAAAGGAAACCACAAGAATTTCATAATTTAATGGAAATTAAATAACACCCTCCTGAACAAACAAAGGGTAATTTTCATGAAATTAAAGAAGAAATTAGCCAGTTCCTACAATAAATGATAATGACAATGCAACACATCAGAACTTATGGGACACAGAGCAGTCCTGGGAGGAAAATAATTCATAGCAGTGAATTCCTATATCAGAAAAACAGAATAATCTCAATAAACTACTTAATGTTGAATGTAAAGCTTCTAAAAGAAGAAGAGCAAGCCAACCCCAAGGCTAGTACAGAGAAGGGAATTGTAAAGATCAGAGCAGACATTATGGAGATTAAGACAACAATACAAAAATACAAAGAATCAACAAATCAAAGACTTTGGTTTTTGGAAGATTAAATAAAATTGAGAAGCCCCTAGCCAACCCTATCAAAAAAGGAAAGAAAAGATTCAAATTTATGCCATTCGGAATGAAAAAAGGGGAAATCCCAACAGGTCCTGTAGAAATCTAGAAGACCATTAACGTCTGTCTGGAGACCCTGTAGTCTAATAAGGTGGAAAACAGAAGAAATGGACAGAGTCCTAGATACATATGAATTTCCAAAGCTGAATCAAGAATATATAAAAATTATAAACATACAATATCAGTCAATGAAATTGAAGATGTAATTACAAACCTACCAACAAAGAAAAACCCTAGTGGATTTGCTGCTGAATTGTACAAGAAACTTAGCAAAGAAGTAGTGCTGCTACTTCTCAAACTCTTTAATGAAATTGAAATGGCAAATAAATATATGAGAAAAAGTTCAAGCACACTGGTCACTCCAGAGATGCAAATTAAAACAATGCTGAGATTGCATCTCACCCCAGAAAGAATGTCTCTCATCAAGAGGTCGACTGATATGGGCGGGGGAGATGGCTCAGTGGACTAAGCGCTTCCCTGGCAAGTGCAAGGGCCTGAGTTCAATCCCCGGTTCCGCAACAACAACAAAAGTCAGCCGATAACCCCCTGGAGGGGTGGTGGGGAAAAAGGAGCCCTTCTCCACTCTTGGTGGGAGTGCAGGCTGGTGCAACCACTGTGGAAATCAGGTGGCGAGGGGAAACTAAAAGTAGA